TTTCGCTAAATACACAAACTGAGACCCAGGCATTAACATACCTGAGTCCCCGACCCCATCGCTTTTCTAATGGTTCTCCCTTATTAATATTACATTTGTTGTGTGGCTTACCGTAATACAAACGAAGTAAAGCATCAACGCCAATACAAAGATCTTCATTTTTATGAAATTCACACTAAAAATTTAAAAAGCATAACTTTTGTAACCTTTATATAAGTATTATCTTAATGAAACATGCTGCAGTAACAACTCTGAGGCAAGCGAAATTACTGTGAGCTCTTTAATTCTTAAAACTGTCTGTACCAGTGTAGGTAGTACCAATGTGAAAATGCTGTGCTGAGTGGTTATATTACTACCTTAAAAAATAAGCAGAAACTCGACGTTTCGAGCGAAGGCCCTTCGTTTCGAGCGAAGGCCCTTGACGAAGGGCCTTCGCTCGAAACGTCGAGTTCTGCTTATTTTTTAAGGTAGTAATATAACCACTCAGCACAGCTCTTTAATTCTTTATGTCAACGAAGCACTGGTGCATCGATGCCACATCGAACCACTGCATGCATGGTGTATTTCGTGAACAAGAATGTACTTATATCTTAATTAACATTGCCAATATATAGAAAATTAGTTCGGCTAATTGAAAGAACTTTTAATTAAATCATATATAAAATCTTGTTGCAGATTTTTATGTCAAGTTTAACTGAAAGCAATGAGAAGTCTGCCATCCCAGTGGAATTATTCGTAACCTCGTTAATAATGGCTTTCATAATGTCAGGAGTGGGTTAGCCTTATATTATAATTGTAAGTGACCGAGTAACAATTCGAAATTGTTTAATTAAAATCTTTTTACTCGATTCTAAATTTGAAATAATACCCAAAATGAGTTTCAGGCTCATATTGATCACTCGAACGGTCCGCTGTGCCAGCGGTATAGTGACCAGAAGCTGCGGATTCGACGACCTGAAGAATACAAGTAAAACGTCGACGTTTCTCACTTCCCAACGAAGGGCCTTCGCTCGACAGTTGATTCCCTGTCAAGATAAAATATTTGCATTACTCCACTTGTGAGGTAACATCATGCATATCTTCAATAGTCCAAGATGGCAGATAGCTCACTGTTTTCAGTCGAAATATTTCCATGTAAAAGTCCTTTCAAACGAGACAAACTAAATTTTTATTCCCAATATCCGAAATTAATTTTTCCTGACTTTCCATTTAAAGAAGTTATAGTTTGCCATACGTAGCTACATTTATCTTTCACCGTTCGTTTTTTACCTGTTGTCTGTCACAATGTCAATGTCGTATATAACTGACAAACTAATATTTAGTGATTCTTTATATAGTCGTGTCTTAACTAATTATAGAATGAATGCAAATTAAAAAATAAAGAAACACCAGTATAGAAAATGTGGTGAAAATGAGCAATTTCCCCCGCCCCAGATGTTTGTCATAGCAATCCGGATACATCGGACATGCACGCATGCATTTGGTTCCGTCCATATATACTCACATATATAGACTGAGGTTACAAAAAAAAACTCTTAAATATCGAATCAACATTGGTCATTGCTGACTTTTTACATGCATCTCACTATAGTCTGTCAAGATATGATGATCTGGAAGCCTGGCAAACTTCAAAGCCACAAGATAGAAGCGGCAGGTACAAAATGCAGGTTGCAGGTTGCAGGTTGCAGGTTGGAATTTTGCAGGTTGGGAATTTTGCAGGTTGGAATTTTGCAGGTTGGGGATTTTGCAGGTTGGAATTTTGCAGGTTGACAGGAATTTTGCAGGTTGATGATGCAAACTGAAAATTACACTACTATAAAGTATTCTAGTATAATTTTATTGTGTACTTATTGCAGTCTGACTCCTTGTCGCCGCTTTTGATATCAGCCTATCCTGCTACCATGTTTCTAGCCTCTGCTCATCACCCTTGTGAAAACATTCAAAATGACCAGATTGGCTTGGATTTTCAGGGGAACGAATGTTTCGATTGTTGCGAGGAGCCGACATGACGTGGTGGCAGTTCAGAAAATGCCTGAATGAGGTGTCTCTCCTCTGCACCAACTTATGAGACCACTCAAGCCCCCAATTACCGTATCATTACTCGAGAGTTAGTTAACTTTTAACAACATTCTAGTATAAACACCACGACATCATGTAGGCACCTCGCAACAATCAAAACATTCGTCCAGGGGCGTAGGAAGCTTCTAAAAGTTGGGGGGGGGGGTGCCAGGCTTTGAGGGACACTTGACGAATAAAAAAGGGCATCCAAAAATATTTTTTCCGGATATATCCAATTTCCCTAAATATGAAAAAAATGTTCCGGAAATACCAAAAAAATTTTCAGACATGTCATATTTTTTCCGGAAATGAAAAAAAATATTCCGGAAAATAACATAAATTCAAGTTTCGAAAAGTGCGCTTTGGGCAAAAAAGGGCAATCCTTAAAACATTTTTAACACAAAAAAGGGCACTTTTTGCTGCCGGAAAAAGGGCACTTGGCAAAACTTGGGGGGCCTGGCCTCCCCTGGCCATCCCCGGTTCCTACGCCACTGCATTCGTCTCCCTGTAGGTCCAAGCCAATCTGGTCATTTTGAATGTTTTCACTGGGGTGTGGCCACTAGCCTTAGAGCAGAGGCGCCGACAAGGAGTCAGACTGCAATAAATGCACAATTAAATTATACTAGAATACTGAAAAAGTGGTGTAATTTTAAGTTTGCATTATCAACCTGCAAAGTTCCTGGCAACCTGCAAAATTCCAACCTGCAAAATCCCCAACCTGCAAAATTCGCAACCTGCAAAATTCCAACCTGCAACCTGCAACCTGCGTTTTGTACCTGCCGAGATAGAAGACCTTTGTTTAATGTCTAATTGTTCTCACCGTGTACAAACCTTTGTCTCAACTTCATTAAATACTATTCATCGTGGTTGCACGTTTCATCTCAGCTCAATCACCGTGACCGACGCAAATTAACATAACCTCATGCAAAAACATAACACAATGACTTTTGTTTAGTTTCCAGAGCATTCTATCTTGATAGACTATCGCCTGTCATTCTAAAACCTCACTCACACTCAAAGAGTGGAGGTTCAATCTGAGCTTCCCTTGTGTGTCAGTGCTGTTTTTGAATAGCTAGAGGGTGAGTAGTCACATAGTAAGGCACGGGACTAACCCTCCAGCTATTCGAAAACAGCACTGACACTCAAGGAAAGCTCAGATTGAACCTCCAGCCCGAGTGTGAGTGAGCTTTTTAGAATACAGGCGTATGATCCCTCGCGTTATTCCGTAGATGTTTTCATCTCACGATTTCTTAATAAATCTTGATTGCTTCCATTTTACTTCTCTTCATTTCGTTTCACATTATCGAAATACACTTTATTCAATGCTGTTTTTTCGTGAATAACATGCAATATTCAATTGTGATATAATCTTGAACGGTCTGTGCCAGTGTAGGTAGTGCCAATAATATTAATAAGCTTTCGTTGCTAGGGGTGCAACTACCTGGAAAATATAAGGAGAATTTCGACGTTTCGAGGAAAGGCCCTTCGTCTGGGCCTTCGCATGAATTAACGTCCATTAAGTTCTCGTTATATATTTTTCAGGTAGTTACATCCCTAGCAACGAAAGCTTGTTAATATTCAATTGTGCTTTTTTTCAATTCGTAAATAATTGGAAAATGATTTAGCTTTTTTCTATGACTATTGGTACAGTGAAAATTCAAAAAACAACTTAGGCTACATATATTTGTGTTAAATGCCCTATCATGTATACTTTCATTATTTTCATTTTTATTCGAAATAAAAATTAAACTCACTTAATAAAGGTACGTTAATTGTGTTTGTATGTGATCAATCGTATAATCCTGAAAATATATATGACATATAGAGGTGTGGAGGAATATATAGGTGAAATTCAGAATCAAGACATGTTTGTATGGCTGAATTGGTTTTCGTCCGGAAAACGCCAGAAGGGTGGCAATTAACAACATAATTATAACTGTTCAAATACATAAATCAGGTCATACACCCACTGGTATACATCCTGTATAGTGTAAGTTGATGCAAGCCTGCATGCATTCATTTCACCTGACAATAACCGTAATTGTGCACGAGTCACGATCAGGGCATTTACTAATTTTAGACTTGTATTCTAGTCCTATAAAGCCCTGGTCAAACGAAAGTGAGATTTGGCAGTCACGAATTTAAAATACATGATACTGATAGTGTTGGGAAAGCTAAGAACAGTTAATTAACCAAGGTCGCATGACTCTCATAAGGGGCCAGTTGTTCAAAGCTGTGTTAGTTTAACCCTAGGTTAACCTAAAATTCAAAGCAAACTTCCTGACAGCTTGTCTATAAATTTGGAAATATTTCTTCAGAGATCTTGTCTGGATGGATAGGAGTTTACTTCTCTGAAGTTTTGAAATAAACAGACGTGCAGAAATACACAAACTAAAACAGCAGGTTAAATTTTAACCCACGGTTAGCGCTAATCCACCTTTGAACAACCCGCCCCTGGGCTTAATTATGTTGTTTCGCAATTCTCTGAAAACCTCACTTCCTATTGTCTAACCATAAAAGACCTAAATCATAACTGGTTTGTGCTTGTTCATATAAGATTATAACAAATGCTTGCATGGTTCACCCTCCTGCTGCAATTAACCTGCAATTAACGTATATCGAAAGCGTTATATTGCAAGCTGCAACCAACATTGCCCGTTCAAGGAATCAAGACCTCCAAATTAACATGTTTATACAAAACACGTTATGAAAGAATCTATTCAGGTTCCAGTAATCCAGTAAAGCGAACTGAATGGACATTAGACGTCTTGTCACAGTCCTAGCTTGCGGCAGGGGATCGGCGCACAAATTCCGAAATCAATTGACAGTCGGACCCTGTACGGCTGTAGGCTCCTTCATTATTTATTGTATGCCCAAAGCATGCAAGCAACACTGCGCAGTTATCACCATGCACGTGTATCATCCAACTTTACCATATTCGCGTGCGTTGATATTGAGTTTATTGATAAAAAAATTTTACACATGCAGCGACAAAATTCAGGTTTAGCTGTGCAGCGATCGACTAGCCATGCACCGTCTATACGCTCAACAAGGGATTCACAATCTTCGGAAATTCAAAGTGGTGAAATTTCCGTTTTTGGTGTTCATAAAGAACAATAAAATGAAAGGTCTTATGAACTCTGTTCATGTCTCTTTCTACATAATGTCTTCGTTACAAATCATTGGATCTGACGGTGAAAATAATAGATATCTTATATACACTAGATAGTGCATCTCTTTAAGTAAAATTGAAGACAAGAATATTCCAGCGGTTACCCCCATTTGAATAGATGGCGGCCATGTTGAAGTTTCCCACTCGCTAATAAACGCTTAAAAACAACAATAACTTTCATCATTTGAACAGTTTGAAAATGTATTTGGAATAGGTTTAACTTAATGTTTAAGTTCTCTGTTTAAGAAATAGAAAACATACGAGTCTTCTCATTTCATGGGAATATCCTGAGTCTGCAATCACGGCTTCAATTTTCGAATTGCAGAATAATTAGATGCACTATCTAGTGTATACAAGATATCTATGGTGAAAATATAGCACACAATATTTACAATTTTAATATGCAGAGTTGCTTTTCCAATGAGCTCCATATATATCTGGAGTGAGAACTCGAGTCCAAAAAGTGAGCCAAGATGAAGCTGTTGGACGTCAGTTCCAGCCCTTAGTTCCACTGTTTTTGTCTGCGCGGATTTGACCTCGATTTACAGAATAACACTATGGGTTTTATGAACGGATAACCTGTTTAGCGATATGGCCCGTTAGAAAAAAACTGGAAAAATGGTATGAAAACTGTTTATGACCTTCATAGACGCTGTACGTCAATTCCGCCATTTTGGTAGCATGAGCAGACTTTCATTTTGCTGTCCTAAAATTCGCATCCCACACGCGAAGGTCTATATATATGCTCAGGTTACCATCTTGGCTTCATTCTCGTAGGTCGAATGACTGACGTTCTTGCTCCAGTTATATATAGAGCTCACTGTGCATGTCAAGTTAGAACCGTTTACTTCTAGTTTCTAGTTCAATGGTTAGAACTAGTCCGTCAATAAAATTATACCAACATGTACTGAAATACATTGAAGACTTATGAATTACATCCTGTACCGTGAACTATAAGCGATTTCAGCATTTAAGCGTATTTTGTTGTGAAAACAGAACAGTTTGTGTTTTCAAACAAATGCTTATATAATTATTAATTGAATGTGGACCAGGCCTTAACTGTTCCCGCGGGCAAAGTTAAAGCCAGGTTCACACTACAGCCACTAAGCGATTTTGTCCGCGATTTTGTATTTCTGACCGATGCAAATGAGTGAACTCCCACACAAGTATAGAGTCGCTTTTAAGAAGTAAACAAATTCTAAGTCTTTTGCATGTCATTCATTCGATCACATTTGCCAGGAGAAAAATCGCCGACAGAATTGCTAGTGTGAACCAAGCTTAAGTTGCATCACTCACTTTATATTTATTGTCGTATATTGAAAATTGTGTCATTGATCTAAATAATGGGAATCCTTTGAATTATTCACACCATGCGACCAGGCCTTGTGCGTCATTTTTGGATAGCAAACCGAGCACCAAGAGAGAATGACAACAAGCGAGGGAGTGATTAGGTGAAGTATATAGTAGTTTTTACTCCACTAAATTTGTTGCGTGTACTTTCCCCGTGAGGATTACCACCCAAAAAAGGTGGATGTTTCCTGGCGTGAGAAGGCTCATTCCCCAATTCATGAGATTTTAGTCTTGTTTCTCTGACATAATTGATCGTTAGATATTCCACTTTCGCTTGAAACACTAATAGATCTCGAGGGATCACCTGTCCAAGTTGTATTTCGTCTTAAATTGCTCTTGAAAAGGAGTGTCTTTGACTAAAATAATAAAGGACGGTGTTCCTCCATACACAACATACCTAAAAAGAAAAATTACATAGGGTTGCTTAGTGCAGCAAAATTATTATAGTAATTTTATTAATTGTTCGTTTAATCTGTGTTATAATTTATAGTATTTACAAAAATAATAAATTGTTTCTCTTATTTACTTTTTTATATCCTAATTTATTTATTTTTTATATATATCCTTTTAAAGTAAACTCGGGCATTTCACTACTTGTTTCAGAATTTTGTTACAGAGGCTTAAAATACGTATGTTTACCTTGGATTTGATAGAACGTTTGCCAGACAAGTTGATTGTGTAACAAAAACCAAGGCATTCTTTTCTACGTCCTCAAAATATATCTAACGCGAAAATTATAAATCGTTATTTGAAAATTGTAAAATGATGCATAAGGAATGAAAAGACAGAATCAGTAATGCAAGAAGCAAAGACTATATCGTTCTGGTCAGCGCTATTTAATTGTTTTAGTAATGTTATAATATCAGTATTGAAAAAGTTTTATTTATAAATACAACTAATACACGTGTTTATTTTCACCCATTTTTTGGGTGAAAAGCAATAGTTACTGCTCAAAGCAGTCTGAGCAGTAATTATTGCCTCAGAGTTACTGCTGAGGGAGCATTTTTCAATACTGAAATTATACTAATAATCTATAATAAGACACGATACAGATAGGCTATATGGGGTTAAAGTTGGTGGGCCTGAGTGCATCGATGTTATCATAAATTGTTAGTAATGCTGACCAAAACAACATGCGGTCATTCTAGATCATCGCTGGGTTATAGCAAATCCCTTAGAATACCTTAACTTGCCCAAAAGGTCTTGTCCCCCTATCAATTTCCTGCGCTTCTGAACATAGCATGCATGGCCGAGTATGCAATTCACACGAACAGTAAATACCTCGAGTTGTGAAGGTCGGTATTTGCGGTCGACATCCCATGGAACGTCTTGAGATGAAAACATGACTTGCAAATTATCTGAAAATCTAAATGTAACGGTTAACAGTTTACCAAATTTGCTAAATATCAAGATTTTGTTGGCATCTCACTCGATTGAATAACACTTGAAGGGTCTTGTAGATGGAAATTATCGAGTGGAACAACTGCGAAAAATGCAACTATAGGTCCCTGGCAGGAATCGAACCTGCCACCCTGCGATTCTGGTGCAGTGCTCTCACCAACTGAGCTACAGAGGCCAGTTGTCGAGATCTAACCACAACTTCATGTAGATACACTAGGGTACTGCCATGCATGTTAGGTTATGGGTAAATATCAAGATTGTGTTGGCATATCTCACTCGATTGAATAATAGTTGAAGGGTCTTGTATAGATGGAAATGGAGTGGAAATTTATATACATTTATATACTTGTGGTTAGAGCTCGACAGCTGGCCTCTGTGCTCAGATGGTTACAGAGCTACACCAGAATCGCAGGGTGGCAGGTTCGATTCCTGCCAGAGACCTGTAGTTGCATTTTTCGCAGTTGTTCCTAGTTAGGTTTAATAAATGTATATAAATTTCCATTCGACAAGTTCCATCTACAAGACTCTACCAAATTTGCTAGACTATAGTAAATAACTATCCGAAAGATTTTATCGCTGCTCACCTGAGATTTTCGTTAAAAGCTTCAATAAAATCTGTCTGACCATACTCAGGGTATACAAACAAAACAGGCCAATGTAGAACTCCATCATCGTCTAAAGTGACCTGGCCTTTCCCAGGAATGTGTTGGTTGTTTAACCCGAGAGCAGTGAGTTTGTCTACTTCTGAGTTATCTTCTCTATCCTCTTCATTATTTACCTGACCAGGAATAGATCGTAGTGACACACCTCTAGACTGAGTAAGATAAGAAATCTGAGGAACTGGGCTACCTCCGGCAACGATTTCTGGCCCCGTTTATATGAATTCAACCTCGTTCGCGAATACCCTGGGAACGAGGTTGATATGAATTATGTTTACATGAGACCGGGCCGGAAATGAGTTTTATTCTAGTATATGTTTCGCATCTTTTAAAAGACCAATGCATAATCATATCAATCTTCAATCATGAATCAATTTTGTTTTCTCTACAGTTTTTAAAATTATCATTGTTACTCAATTATGAGCGTTCTTCCGAAATCAATCGTAAAATATTTTGTGTTTACACTCATCCCACTCCGAGTTCGTCCCGCCCTGCAGATAGTGGGTTTGACCTAAACATTGGAATGGTTTAAACATTTTGAAGTTGGTCTCTCTTGCACATGTATCAACTATATGTAGAGACAGCACGAATATAACAGAGAGGTAGACCGCTAACCGCAAACTTCAAGTCGTATTTTGAGGTCAACTGTTAGCTGTTCGAAGTTAGGACAATTTGTGCAGTACAACTGAAGCATGAAGTAGCTAAAAACTTGTCGAAACTTTCGCAAACTTATAGAACGTACCTTCAAATGCGACTTGAAGTTTGCTGTTTACTGTTAGAGGTCTGCCGTAAACGTCAATCTTAACCTCCCTAAAGGCCCATTTACACGGGCGATTTTTGCTGCGATTTTAGTTGCGATTTTCTCCTTTTGGAGGATATGAAGGAGTAGATTACTTAATGACGTTGTTATGAAATTCCATAACCTGGAACATTTATAACTCATCCACTCCTTCACATCCATCAGAAGAAGAAAATCGCCCTAAAATCGCAGCAAAAATCGCCCGTGTAAACGGGCCCTTAAGGCCCAGACACACCGCGGACGCGATTCGACAACGCGATTTTTTGGTTTTTGAAAGTTAATAAAACATCCAATGAGAACAAAGACCAAATAACTCAAAATGTTATAACGCTTCTAAATATTTGGAAAATTTAAACTAGGATCAAAGTTATCGGTCAGTGAAAATCGAAAAATCGCGTGTCGTTGACGAATCGCGTCGGGTGTGTCTGGACCGTAATGAATCTACAGACCGTAGAACTGCATGACCATCTCTTGGTAAACATTGATAAGAGTGGGTACATAAAATATATTACATAGAATTTTGCGTGTGAAGAAAATCAATTTCAGTTGACAAGTAACAAACCATTATAGCTTCAATAAGTCGGTCATTCGCCTTTCTCATCTTATTTTCTTCCGCTTCCTTCTTTCTTTTATCTCTTTCATATTGTTTCTGAACAAAATTCAATTCTGATTAATCTTCATAAAACATGTTGACTGTTCAGTGACTATATAATTATATAGCCTTTTCAGAACTCAAATAATAACCAACCAGTTTCAACGTTGCTTTTTTGAGGAGATCTTGAAAGCATTTCTGATCAGGATCATGCTTAGAGATATTAAGCAAAATACACATCCCGAACTATGTACTCCAAAAGTATATTAAAGTTCTAAATTAAATTTAAAAATTAACAAAAAAACCCACATGCTATACAGAATATGAACTTTCAGAAAACTGGTAAATTGATTTAGTGTTTTCCTATCAAATTATCAACCATCCCAGCATATTACTGCCGGGATAACTCCAGACGAGGGGCCTTCGCTCGAAACGTCGAAATTCTTCTTATATTTTTCAGGTACTTGCATCCCAACCAACGAAAACTTGTGTATTAAAATGGCAATCCAAATGGAGTGTGCTCTTGTGTCCTCAATATTAAGTGCACAGATTCAATTTTGCCACATTAATACAAATTAGAGTTTTAGGTTAGAGGTCTTGTACCATTCCAATCACAATTAACCAAATACGAGTCGGTTAAAAATTGCCCGTTAAAACCACATCTTTCTACATTTGTGCATAATAGATCTTTCTTATAATGACGTCAAACGCGGAAAAACACTTAATGCGATGTCCCAAGGGACAATTTTGAGCGACAATTCGCAATGCAAATTACGCTTTTTGAAATGTATTGGCTCACCAACGACTTGCATTGTCCTGTGGGATAAATTGGTTTTCCGCGCTTGACGTCATGATAAGAAAGGTCTATTAAGCAGTATACATAATAAAAGAAAAACAATTTAAAATTAACACTAATGTGTCTTGCCAATCAAGTGACCACATTTGCGAACATTATTTAAGTTTATCCCATATGTTATTAAATGTATTCTTCCAAATTTTGTAGCTGTGTAAAAAAATATCAATAAACTCGATATCTAACGCATGCCAACATAAAGTTGGCCTGCTTTTTTTGTACACGTACCCTGAATATACATACTAAGGCACAAAAGTGGGAAAATGTATAGTTTTGGTCATGCAGCGAGAAAATAGTGAGCGAGATCTCGCTATTATGACTCCATTAATATCCAGCATAAATCTCGCCTAAAGTAGCACTACGTCACTCGAATCGCATTAGAATAAAAAGGATACAGCCAAGCCTTCTTTACACCAGTTAATTGCATCATTGTATCGCTCCAGCTCTATACATGCACACCCACCTAGATAAAAGTAGAATTATATCTCTTTACACTTTGCATCGATCCAGGAAAGTCAGCTTTTGACTAAATTTTGATCCAGACAAGAAGGACGAAATCTCTTATTATAGTTTAAAAGATCATCCTTAAATTAGTAAAATTGCCAAATTTGGTTGCTAAAATGTTGTAAAAAAATGTTGAGTATTTTAGTATTACGCGCGAAAAAATGCCTGACTCGTCCCCAGTCGCTTACTCAGCGCTGAAAGATGGGAATCCCATGGCCATTGCGTTATACTCAATTTTCATCGCATTCCCATGAATCATTGCAAGAATAGCAATGTTAGGGACTGTGGAAGAGTCAGGAAAAATGCACTACTCTTGAGTCGAAAATGGTGCATTTTTACAACATTTTGCAACCAAACTTTGCAATTTTACTAATTTTGGGATGCTCTTTTGAGCTATAATGATAGATTTCGTCTTTCTTGTCTAGATAAAAAAAATAGTCGATAACTGGAATTATCCATTCTAGACCTAGTATATACTTAGTATATACGGAATTTTAACGTACAGCAAGAAACGTCATGGGTGAAAACATAGTTAATATAGAAGAAATAAAAAAACGAAAAAAAATAAAAATGAAAATAACGTACCGCGAAATATTGCTTTGATATAACCGGGTTGAATATTCTTAGCTTCTGTCGCATCATTCAAAGACGTCCGATAGTTTCCTAAATAAATATGGTCAACTTTATATATCTACAACATCATGAGCCTCGCAAGAGCCACTAACAAAATGCCTCTCAAGGGCCACTAGCAAAATGCCTGCTTAGTTTAATACTGAACTCAGACGAATGGTCTTCGCTCGTAGAAATTCTCCTTATATTTTTCAGGTAGTTGCATCCCTATCAATGAAAGCTTGTTCGTATTATTGGCACTCCCTACACTGGCACATTACCTGAGTTAGGGTATATATATAATTATGAATCCATGAGCATTTGAAGGGCTGGCCAATTGGCCATTCAAGGCGACTGATATCCCCATATACTGTTGAAATCCATGGTCACAAAATGGTTTTCATTTACTGTATATAACAGGGGCCAGCCTTTCTAGGTGAGATCTGGCTATGCATGCTGACTATGTGAGGGGTTCACAGACAATGCGCTTATCACTTAACTTGGTTTTCACGTATGATTTGTGACTGAACTAAAAAGGATTGAAAACACTTTGACGTATCTTATAAATTCCTGATGAAGGTCCTTCGCTAGAAACATCGAAGTGTTTTAATCTTTTTCAGCCAGGTAGTTCACAGTTCACACTCAAACCACGCTAGCTTCAGTTGTATTTACCTATCTTATAATGTGCATTAGCTCGGTTGGCAAACAATGTTGACATAACAACTGTATCAGAACAGTTCACTTTAATTCCTTCAGTGTAAACCTTTATCGCTTTTTTGTAGTTTTCTTTCTTGAATTCCTCATTGCCATCGTCCTTGTATGAAAGTGCTCTGGCTTTAAGAAAATGCAATATTCATGAACGATTTTGGGCTGTTTGTTAAACATGATCTCGTGCGGGACGGGATGAAAAGTGGCATGATTTTGAAGTCAAAATTAAAATCAGTAACCACATCAAGGGTGGCGCCAGAGAGGAGCAAGTGAACAGCAAGTAAGCAGTGTGTTGTGTAGTGCTGTTAAACAGACTGTTGAAGACAATTGTATTCTGGCGCATAGACAGTATATCCTCAAAATACTGTAAAATACCATTTCAGTGAACTTATTACGAACTTACCCCCTTATTCGAGGCTACATACAATTCATGAGGATGAGAGTTGTGAGAGTCGACAATCACACTTTGTTATGAGGCTAAAGGCCGTTTTCCACTAGGCGGAATTTTTCTTTGTCTTGTGATTTCTCGGGTGGAACTAATTGGAAAAGACAAAGAGAAATTCCGCTCCGCGCGGAACATTCTGCCTAGTAATACCAACCAATTAGGTTGTGTGACTGTCAAAGCTCATGTCAGTCATGAGGCTCTTATTCCTGTCTGATAATAAGTGCGTAATAATATGACTGCTGATATTAAACCTGGTTTCTGTGAACGAACAAACTTCAAATACAGGTTCAAGCTGAGATTAAATGAACTCAGTACAATGACAATGTTGTTGATCAGATCCTATAGTTTCACAAAATTAATATCAATGGCTGCTTGGTACTTTATATGGCAAAGCTTTTGCTAATTTCTCATCCAATAGTCACCCAAATTTAACCAAAATTTAAAAAGTTTGTCCTTGGGCTATGTCCATTAGTAGTACAAATTTACAAATGCAGGCAGACAGACACACAAACAAACTTGGATGAAAACATATAACCTCCTAAGTACAGGCTCCTAGCGGAGGCATATACTAAACTGGCTGGTTAGAAGCTAATGACCTGTCCAGCTAATTAACCCATTAATTTGCATTGCACCCCAATGCACCTACCCTGGATCAGGGGGTTTTATTATTTTACTCTGTCTAACAACAGCCAATTTTACTCATCTAGGAGAGAGCACTAGTACCAATAGGTTCACCAATTTGATATGCCTAGTATTGCCTACTAAATAATAATTACATGAATGCATAATTATTATGTTGTAATTATTAATAGGTAGCTCTTTATAATTCCTTAGATATTAATAGGTAGCTCCTTATAATTCCTTAGGTAGCATATCAAATTTTATTTAAATATTGTGTAGCTTGCATTTTATTGTTCATGTATAAAATGTAGTACAGGTAACTGTTTTAAATTTTTGGGCCTGGAAAAACTAAATTTAAAAAAATTAAATTTAACCCACCATCAGGATCATCTTCCTCAAACTTCATGGCTTGCATTGCTGCCACTCCTGGAGCTTTTTCAGGATCAACTTCTTCAGGACATTTTGTCATGAATAATGGGATATTCTCCAATTCCTAAATCAACATTTGTTCGTGTGATTTGTTTCAATCAGCAGCAGCTCAGTAGGCAATTTTACTTGTCAAATAGACAATGTCTGATATTACATGCAGTGTTGCCAAGAAGGGGGGAGGGGGAGGCAAGGGAGCAGGGCTCGAATTTTATCGTGGCAATCGCGGCAATTGCCGTAGAGGGAGAACAAAATGCTGTGAATTATTGCGGCAATGACAGCAATTTTTTGCCGTATACAGGCGTATATACTACTCACTGTGCATTACTATTTTGATACTTGAATTCAGATGTTGATCAAATTATGCGTAAATTACTATTTTAGTCTCAGTTTTCTTCGAGAAAAAGAACACTAAAGAAATACGTAAACATGTTTCTAGCTTGTCAACAATCCAAAGTAACAATTTTATTACAGTAATTTGAAAAAATGCCGTGCAAACTTCCAAAATTGCCGTAGACAGCTGTTACGTTCTACGGCAATTTTTAACGCCATTGTCGTCGATTGATTTCAGGGAAATTCGAGGCCTGCAAGGGAGGGCATTTTGTTCCAGGCCCCCACTTCAAAAGGGCCCTAAAAGTGACAAAGGCCCTGATACAAGATTGATACAAGATTGCTTAATCAAGAATATAAACCCTAGCTGTGTCAGTGCCACATAACATGCAATAAAGCGTAATATATTGTAACTTGTCCGTTTCATAATTATAACGTCAGAGGCTCGAGCCTTGAGAAAATTAGGAGCCCACCTGGTTTTGGGTCCTGCCCAACCTTTCAGAGGCCCTGATCACATGGGTTCTCACTTAAATGGATTTTTGTCTGATGGGGGCAGGGTGCACACCCCCTAGCCCCTGCCAGAAGGGGGCAGATGATGCTATATTTCATGATCAAGCAAAAAGAATATTTAATAAGAGACAAAATGAGATACAGTAATTTGAGTAATAAGCCCATGACTGACACAACTCGGCACCAGAGCTGGCAGAGCACACCCCCCCCCCCCACGACCACCAGATCATGCTAGATCCATCCCTGCTTGTAGGTGGAGCACTAAAGTCGATGCCCTACATCGACTGGCCTAAAGGGAGTGTTGTTGTTTGTCCTGGATCATGTTCCATGAAAGGGGGGTTGCTAAGTATCAATTATTAGAGAATAATTAGACAAAATTAACCCTTTAAGTGGCAATGTGCCCAGATGCACCCTACTTTATTATTTTACTCTGTCTAACACCAGACGATTTTACTCGTCAGAGCCCAGGGGGAGAGTGCTGCCACTCAATGGGTAAAAATAATGGTCATATTATAAACAATCATTGCAGAAGTCATAGTCCTCAATCTGGGATGAATTCTGTTTGCCAATATTCCCTGGATCTGACCCCCAGGAATTAGGAGAACTTTCTTCTTATCTTAAATTAATGTTCTCTGTTTTTTGGAGGAAGTTCATTAAAACAATTCATTCATATCCAGACCTCTTCCCAATTGTCCTCACTCAATGGATGTGCATATTTGTAGTTCTTGTTTTTCTCAAGCATTTTATCAACGTAATTATTTAAATCTTCGTCAAGTTTTGCTGCTAAAGAATCCTTCTCTGCCATACTCTTTCTTTCTGCGATATTGATAAACTGCAATATAAATATAAAACTATAAAAGCACGATCGAAATAATCGAATTCACTCCAATTTCTAGTACTTCATGTAACCTCCGACATAACGTCCTGATCTGATCAGCAGATATCAGTACTGGGG